AACCTCCTCTACCCTTACTTCATTTCACCTTCTCTTCTATTTTTAACCCAGCCTTGAGCTCCGTGCGCTGGCACAAGAGAAGAGAGGGAGACCCTGAGCAGCTCAGCCCCCCGGCCCGCTCAGCCCGCCCCCAGCCCCGTGGGGCCCCCTCCCTGACCACTTCCACTCCTGAGCTGCGCAGCACCATCTGCAATCTCAGCCTCCTGGGAGCGCCCCGACTCCCAGCGTCAACCCCCCTTTGTCAATGTCACCCCCATCCAACGGAAAGGAAAAAGAGGGGCACAGAGACATCACCCAACGCGCCCAAGGTCACAGGAATCAGGGCTAAATTCAGGCGTCTGAGCCTCAGTTCTCTGCTCTAACGCTACACTGTCCCGTTAGCCCTGCAAGGCCTCCTCTATGTGTGCGTACGTAAGCTCTGTGATCTCACCTCCTGCGTTTCCTCAGGGAGATGGAGACCGTTTCTTTTACCCAATTTGATCAGCCTCTCTAGGTATCTCTTTGCTTCAGGCTTCAGCGAAGTGCTCTCTGCTTTCTCCTGTGAAACAAAACCCATGAGCCCAGGGAACCACAGGGATCAGGTGTTGCAGAAAGTTGGGTCCCGGTGGGAGTTGTGGGTTATTGTAACACCAGTGACCCAGAAGCGGATGGAAACTCCCCACGAGAAGGCTTTGCTTTGGTGCATTAGTTCCTATCCGATTGCTTTAAACATCTCGCTTTTGTGTCGTATCACAGCACTTTCCAGGGCATTGCCCAGCCCCTTCCCCGAGTGAGGCAGGCTGGCTTTACTAAAGCCATTTTACCAAAGGGGTAATCAAGGTCCTGAGCGGGGGCAGAGCCCTCGAACCCCAGCTCCCCAGTTCTCACTAACAGCTGGACCATTCTGCCATGATCACGCAGCAATTCAGTTCCAGACCTGACTCGATATCATTCATTTCTAAGTTCTGGGACAAAGGAAAAGGGTTTGTTGTAATTCCAGGAGGTTTCAGTGCCCTGCTCAGGTGCATCACTGACGCAGCCTCCTCCCAAGCACACACCTGGAGCCAGACAATCCTCTGGTACACGTCCTGCCTCATGCTCATCTCCACGTCGAACTCCGACAGCTTCTTGTCAGCCTCGGTGCTCGCCGCACGGATGTCTTTGCAAGGAGAGACGTGCTGGGGGAAGTCCAGCATGTTCCGACGGACTGGAAAGACAGAAGAGGGATTACGGTGAAGGCAACGGCTTCATGTCCCAGAACTACCGTGAGTGGGAGTGTACACAGAGAGCCTGTGTTAACTGGGAGCCAGTTTGGCAGGCCGGGAGCCTGACCTGCCCGCCCACACAAAGGAAGAGTGAGGCAAGCTGCTGCCGTCGGACAAACCAGAGCTGTCCTCTCTGAGCAGCACTCAGTCAGCCGCAGCACCCGCTCACCCCTTCCTCGCTGCCGAGCACATCTGTCCACTGATTTCCCGCTACAGTTCACCTTTCTCACAAAACTCACACGAATTTCATGCCTGTGAGATCCCAGCGCCTTTGCCCCAGCTATAGCTGGTATCAAGGCTTTCAAGAATCACAGGATTTCTATGCTGGCAGACACACGGGCCGCATCGTTGCGTGACTCCTTTCCTTAGAGGACCGGGCTAAATGTGACAGACCTTCGCTGCAGGCGCTCCTCAAAAGCCACCATGTCCCAGGCGTGCTCTGTCCTGACGTATTTCCATTTTAGAAGTGATAACAGGGAGAACGTTCCCTGCCACCATCTCTGCAAAACCTCAAATAACACAGCTCCAGCGGGAAGGTGCTGCCCTCCTGGCACGAGAACTCTCCACCCAGCAGAAGGTGAGGAGGCAGCAACTCTCTGTTGCCCAGGGAAAGTGCTGACAGTTCTGCTGAAGTTAACATTCCCCCTGCTTACTAAGGGCTTTTCCTCTTATTTTAGGAAAAAGAAATCAGAGAGAAGAAAGAAGAGGCTTGCAGGCTGGCTCCTGCTTCACACAGACATGCCACCTCACAGCCGGGCGGTCAGGACGGCTAACAGATGCCGCGAGGCAGGAGGGGGGCTGCCTGACTTTGGCACTCTACTGCTGTAAATAATTAGCCAGAGATACGGCGAAGCCTGCATCGTTTGCCAGCACGATGCCATCATGGCACGTTACTTTACACGTAACCCCTAAACCACCAGCAGCGTTTAAACAAGGCACGTGGAGAGACATCGACCCGCTGCCTTAGGGAAAAAGTTAGAAAAGAGCTAAAGGTTTCTGAGATCCTCCAAACCATTTCTGTCAACACACGATTTGTTCCCACTAATGCACCTCGACACATAAAAGCAGGAGACAACCTTGAAAACTTGGCTGCTCCTCCCACAGACCATCCTGCCGCCAAAGCGCTGTCCTCGTTTTAGACTCGCTCGTCCGTTCCAAATCTACTCTATTTGTACTTATATCTAGCTGTATAAACATTAATTGGAAAGAAAACCCTATACTGCTGAGGGAGCCAAGGGAAGAAAAGAGGAGATGACAGCACAGAGCAAAAAAAACACCAGAAAATTCTCAGTAACGCGCTGGTTTCCAGAAAGCCCGTACTCCCCGTCGGTGTACGTACCCGTATATTCCACTTCCACGTCAGCCAGCGCCTTGAGAGTGTTCTCGTAGGACACCTCGCCCTGCTCCTGGGAGCCCACCCGGTCGTACACAAGCTTGGTCCTCTCCGTGAGCTCTGCGGCCATGTTTTCTATCTGCTCGGCAGTCAGGTCCCATCTTAGCTGATTTGCCAACAGCCTGGGGGACTGGCTATCCACAACGTTACCTGGGGAGCAAACGCTCTGTGAGATGGAAAGAAAACGTAGATGCGTAGCCAGAGCTCGATAAGAGCACTTAAAGGAGAGGCCCAGCAGACGAACCGATGGGCAACCGGGCTCCTACGGCGGGGGCTGGCGGCCATCAGCAGCCGGGTTATTTCCCGGGCG